TAATAGCTATGGCCTCCAACCTACTAGCGATGGCCTCCTACCTACCATGGCCTCCAGCCTACTAGCGATCATGAGCATCTGCCGTATCCACGTTGCCTCCTCATCTGCAGTCTGGCAGTTGGCATCATCGCAATACTTCATGATATCCTGAAGTGTTTAGCATCGCTACTAGGAGCAAAGACACTACTAGGGGCTCCTGGCCTTACTACCAGGAGCAAGGAAGCTACTAGGGGCATCGCTTCAGATATCTGCAAAAGACATTGACAGCGGTATCAAGCCGTGATCTGACTGAACAAGGTTCATGGTGGGCTTCAATGAGGGGAGGGGTAGATCTGCCATCTGTCCTCGTGCAGCAAAGCATGTTCGGCAACGACTTCGGGATCCGCAGGGACACATTGCAAGCACGACCAGGGGCACCTGAGCGCCATCGCTACGTCGCTGCGTAGTTTGCTTCAATGTTTTTTCCCTCCCCAAATAGTCCAATATAGTCACAAGGACCTGATGATAGGCTTAGCAAATTCGTCGCAAACATCTTGCAACGACCTCCAAATCCTGGGCTCTGGCATCCCAGCAACCAGCTCATGCATGCAGCTGGCACCAGGGATTTCAGCACCTCGGGCGTTGCAAAACTCCCAGCTCCACACGATGCCACCCAAAACTGCCAGAGCTACTTTTCAAGTACCAAAAAAGATCGTACTGTTACTAGTAGCGATGCCTTTGTTACTAGTAGCTTCTAGCTCTAGTAGTAATGCCCTTGTTACTAGTAGCGATGCCCTTGTTACTAGTAGCATTTGTCGCTTTCCCTTTGAATTCGCTTCCAATCCTGAGACCACCACAACTGTGATAGTCTTTCTCCAGAAGTAGCCTAGCACACAATGCATAATGGCACGATTCAATATGACAATCTTCCCATACGACCTTCTTACATTCTAAACCATTTGTACGTGTCATGCCAAGCATACAACCGAAATTAAAACAGAACTAAAAGCATAGTCCAAAGAAATAGACCCCGACGCTTTTGATTCAGCATGCCATAAGCTCTGATGTTGCATGCTCACTGCGATGTCAAGCTTGTTTGAAAAACAGTAAAGGTCCGAAAAATAGAATTAGCCCAGCTGGAGACCCCAATAGCAAGATACAAACCGGGACAAAAAGAAAAATCTGGAAACAGCTGCTGTTCAACACATCGACCATCTCTTCCTTGGACACCATCATCACATAACCGGGACACCATCACAAAATGACCAGGGCACCATCAAAACATGACCGAGACACCGTCACAACATGACCGGGACACCGTCACAACATGACCCGGACACCGCCAAAACATGACCAGGACACCATCAAAACATGACTGGGTCACAATCAAAACATGACCGGGACACCAGCATCACATGACCCGGACGCCATCAAAACATGACCGGGACACCATCCGCCCACCAGCTCTGACGGTGACCCGACGGCGCCCGTCCGCCTATTAGTTTTGCAAGACCCCATAGCATGGCTATTGGGGAAAAAGAAGTGAAAAGGAATGTAGGTTCCTTGAAGAACTTGATCTGGTTTGCTTATGCTGCTACTCTGCTAAACAGTACATACTACCTAGTAGCTTTACTGCTAGCAGTATCCTGATGTCTAGTTCTATTTCCTCCGTCTCCTCACACGGTTCGCTCAGCCCAGAGCGTCAAGTTCCGCGAGGCTTCAGGATGGTCGGTACCTCAGATCTGGTTGGGCTTGAGCCACGCAAAAACGTCGTGAACTTTGGGTTTGCAATGTCGCATATACTTACACAGGTCGGCCCAATAACTGGAAGTGGAATTCCGTGGTAGCTTACTAATATATATGCCCCAAACCTAACACGTCCCGTAACAATTGAGGGGCTGAGGAGTTGTCCATCCTTTCATCATCTCCTTGCAGCCCATGTGGCAACTTCCATCATAGCGCATCCCTCGACCCTGCAAGAAGAGCTCTGCAAGTGCCTCATCTGATCAACACAAAGCAGCTCAAGGGGATCACAGGGTTCGTGTGTCTTCCATACTTTGACTTGTGCCCTACCAAGAGACTCTGAGCTTCTTGCTCCTAGTAGTACGGCCAGGAGCTACTAGTAGCGTCCTTGCCCCCTAGTAGCGATGCCCTTTGTTACTAGTAGCTTCTTGCTCGTAGCGATGCCAGGAGCGCCTAGTAGCGAACATTGCTCCTGGTAAGCATTTAGATTCTGTTGTTTCTTGTTACTTTCAAAATCGCTCTACGCCTTCGATGCACATGGATCCTCCGGGCCCTTGCCGCTAGTCTGCTTAGGACTCCTTACCATCAAATCCTAAAGCCTCACGAGCTCCGAGCTCGGGTTGAACTTCGGGGTCGGATCTGTGCAGGGCATCCATACTTGAAGAAACTGCACACGTCCAAACCAGCAAGGACGCTACTAGGGGCTCCTGGCCTTACTACTAGTAACAAGGGCCTTACTACTAGGAGCAAGGACGCTACTAGTAACAAAGGGCATCGCTACTAGGAGCAACGCTAGTAGGTTGGAGGCCATCGCTACTAGGGAGGCCATTGCTGCTTGTAACACGAACACGATGTCTGGCAGCTTCTCGGCACGCTTGACGAACGTAGAAACTTTGGTGGTTCAATGTCAAGGGTGGCGCTCACGCGCCCACTCCGGTTTCATGTGTTTGTTCAGCTTCCTGGTCTGTTTCGTTGCAGTTACCCTTCGACTGAAATTCACATGGAATCATGCAACAAAAAAGAACGCATCCTTCTGCCACGACCAGCAAAACTGTCAAGGTCATGAGTGTTAAAAGAAAAGCAAACGCAATATGGACTCCAAAATGTTCATTCAGCTCAAGCCCGTATTGAACAGTTTATAAAACGTCCTATGCAGATCTGGTAGCGGGGCCAAATGGCAACCAAAGCGAACTTGGTACACATTGTAGTTTGCAGAGTGCGGACAAACCAATGACACCATCACACGGTGATGCACCAACGGTTTTCCTTCGAATCTTCTTGACCAATTCTCCTGACGCTAGTGTTGATGAAGAGGAAGATAGGGTCAGGGCAGCATGGCAAGCGCTACGCCACCATGTGTGATGGGCTCCTTCTAGGAAACGAGATGCTTCACATGTTAAGTCCGGAGGATCTCCGGTCCGGAGGTGGCGTGATGATTTTTGCGCAGCTGATGATCGAGGCAAAAGACAAGCACCAAAAGACATGCTGTTACGCAAAAGGCTTGGCCTGCCAGCAAATACGCAAATACCTTTTGTGATGCCCACCGTTTTGCTTCAAAATGCCCTTCCACCTCATGCAAACAAAGAATCTTTCCTGGATTGACCCATCGAGATAGAACAGCAAAATGGTGATGCAAATGTCACTTTACCCAACTGAGGTCCGGCGTCTAATCAGTCTAATCGCTGGGCATGTGGCCGATGAATCCACAGCAACTACCAGTGCGGCTTTGGGCAAAATTTGGACTTGGTACATGTTTGCATGGCGGGCAGATAGCTCCAATCTGCTCCTGCATGGAACACCAGTACTGCATCCATTGAGGCCATAGAAATGGCCTCCAACCTAGTAGCAATGGTGCCAGACAAGTTTAAAAGGCCGTGAGCAAAAGCTGGGTGCTGGCAAGGCACGTCAAGCAGTTGAAAGCCATATCTTCTTCGGATGCTGCAGGATTGCGTCGTTCTTCTTTTGGTGTCTTGATTGCACTGACGGAGTTGCAACCAAAATGAACTTGGTACACCTCTCAATTTGACCTTCGCACGGTGATACACACCTCCGATCCCTTTGATCCAACCCGGCAACAGTCACCGATGGATCTTAAGTGAATGGTTGTTCACGCGATGCCCCTATTCTGACATGTTGGACAAGGGTTCTGGGGGCAACTGTCGGTGCATGCTAAGTTTCACCTAGAGAAAGCATCACTGCCACTGCCGTCTTGCGTTTCAAAGGCTTCATGGCTTCGCGGCGATCCCACCTTCCCATCTCGCTTGGGTTCCCCGCAAGTCACCTAAAGCTTCCACGTCCAGCTCTGAGAGGCCCAGGCGTTGTCCCAGAAACCGGGCCTCAATCGTTCGAGATGGAAGGCATTGGAGTTTCCGTCGTTTGACCAACAGCGTTTGGGCAACTGACCAGAAATGGATTGCTCAGTGTTTCCAGGGAGTGGTTGCCATTGGTGAAGGCCTGGCCACAAGGCGCACAAAAATGGATTTCATGATGAGACTGTGGCATGGCTGATGCGTTCTGCCTCAACATCCTTTCAAGCAAAAGAGAAAAGAAAGGGTCTGAAGGTTCACAGGGAGAAAGGAAGGAACAACAATACAAAAAGAAAGGAGTCGAAGAACAAATGCTGCTGCTCAAGGCCATGCAGTACTAGCTCTACACACGCAAAACCAGCATAAGAAATGACAAAAAGCGTCGATTTGCGGCCTACTACTACTACTACTCCTCCTCCTCGTCCTCCTCCTCCTTAGAATCTAGAATCTAGAATCTAGAATCTAGAACTAGAACTACTACTACTACTACTACTACTACTACTACTACTACTACTAGTACCAGGTGGTCCTCGTACTAATAGTACTAGTACTAGTATCAGTGCCTAGCACTACCACGACGACAATGACGACGACTACCACTACCACTACCACTACCACGACCACTACTACTGCTAACTAACAATACGACTACGACGACGACCACGACGATGACGACACTAATAACAGTTCTACTACTTGCTGGTCCTCCCCTTGCTCCACTCTCACTGCAAGTACTACCACCACCATTACAACCACTACTCTTACTGCCAATACTCCTACACTCCTACTGCTACTGCTCCCACTACCACGACCAGAACGGTTCCTCACTGAAGGGCTTGGTTCTCGAATTCAAAGCATTGCACGATGTCCAAAAAGCCGAAGATTGCCTCCGCAGGGTACATGTTGATGCTCAAGTAGTCAAAAGGGTCATTCTCGTAAGCCTCCACGGCCGGAGATTGCCTCAAAGCACAAGGTAGCGTTGCCTGATTCCGATACAATTCAGGGCACGCATGAGACTGATGCACTAACCTCCTCAAATAAACCACAACCTTGCCTATCACAAGTCCGCTGATGCAAATCTATTTCAACCCTGTGTACAACCACGTAACTCTGTATAGATTTGTATAGCGTCGCATTCTACAAAAGGACTTCCAAATGCCGATACCTCCTTTTGAAGAACTTCTCCATCCAGGGCTCGCGGAGATCTTCCAATCGAACTTTCAAGTACCTCAATTCATGCGTTGGCCTGCGTTGCCTCTGCGTTGCCTGTCATGTCGAGTCGGAAGGTCCGATGCCCTTTGTTCCTAGTAGCGTCCCTTGCTCCTAGTAGCGAGGCCAGGAGCCCCTAGTAGCGTCCTTGTTACTAGTAAGGCACCTGTTACTAGTAGCGTGGCACTTGTTTCTACTAGCTGCCTAGCTTCTTGTTACTACTAGTAAGGCACTTGTTACTAGAAGCGATGCACTTGTTTCTAGTAGCGAACATTGCTACGTCCGTAGCGATGCCCTTCTTACTAGATACCTCGCATCACCTGAATGTAGCAAGAGCCCTCTTCCGCGCACTTGTCTCGATCTACTCGGTTGAGCTCCTTTCGAATGCCAAGGATTTTCAAGAGCTGGTGGACCACCATGCCCTTCATCTCACAGCCTTACAACGCAGATTGGATCTCCAGCACAAAAGGATCTTTAAAAAAATAGAAGCTGACAAATAAGAAGATTATGTGTTCGTTCCAACATTCTCACATTTGGCACCACCATAGGCTTGCGAAAGACAAGACCTTCTAATGCAAACGACACACCAAACGCGCGAACACCTTTCCCAGAAACGCTTCAGATGTGGCCTCGGCCAAGGTTGAGGAGTGTGCCAGAAGTCTTGCCCTCTGCATCCTCATGAGAACAGCTTGAAGGCGCCAATAACAAGGTGCGTTGAAACAAGAATCCATACACAAGCCATTGTGCATCTCTCATGCCGTTCTGTGCTCTGACGACCCTATCTTACCTGGCCTTCTGGTATGCGGACCAACATCCACTGTTTTCATCTCTGATCTGGCGGAAGGTCCAAGGTGAGACCGATCAAGCCAAGACAAAGCTGATTTGCTTGACCATCTCCATGCTGTTTCCACGCCTCCACAGCGGGAACCACACAGCCGCCAGCAGGCTTGGCTTTCACCCCGACAAGCTTGAGGCAAGGGACCTCGAGCAATTGTTGAGATTGCCTAAAGCCTAAAGCTGTTGCTAGTGTCGAGAACATAGTAAGGTGTTCAAGCAAATGGAAGAAAGGTCTAAAACAAGAACGAAAAAGAAATGCAAAAACATCTCAAGAGACAACCTGTTTCAAAAGCATTCCTGCAAGGAGTAGTTTAGTCCATTACGTATGGCAACATAGTAGCAAAGGGTCTCGGAACATTTAAGAGTAAAAATATAGGTTAATGTTGTTGAATCAATCTTTGGATGGGAAGATCATGGAACCATCAGGGACACGTTCTTCAAAATGCCAAGCTTTTCACACAAGATCCTCCATTCAATTCGATGGCATTTGCACATCCAAACTTCAATGAAACTGACTTGGACTTCGCAAACATGCCTAACAAATTCAACTAGTACTCTGTAGCAGGTCATCCAAAACATTCAGGCCTGCTCTTCAATGTGTATCTTTGCAGCCGTCACAGCTCTTTTGACCTTGGAGTGAAAGCGATTGTCAAACCAACGACAGCAAGTTAAACCAGCCAAGTGGCTCAGTACAGAACAAATCAACTTCTTCTCTGAGGAAGGCACAGCTGGAGCAGTGCCAACTCGGAAGCAGTATCGAAGTTCGTGCAGTTCGACCTTTAAGCGCGTTGGAAATCACCAGCAACGTTGATGAAATCTAATTCCAATGCTTAGATTCTTAGGCTTGGACGGTACCCTCGATCTATTTT